TATTTTCTTGTTAAATGTTAAGTAATTTCATATCAGGGTTGCTGAATTTCATGTCTATGTGCACAAGACAAGACAAAAAATGGCTGATGAAATTAAAATTGCGGAAAAGTATCGTAAACAACGGAACAAACGGGTTAATCAAGTTGCAGTAGCGGTTGGTGGATACGCTTCTCTTCATTTGTGTAAAGAGCCCCAGCATACAAGTATTTATACAGGCAAGGCATGGGTAAGGGATGTTTTACAAGGCCATTCCACTCGTTGTTATAACATGTTTAGGATGGAAAGAGAAGTGTTCTTTAGTCTTTGCACATAATTGCAACAACACGGTCTAAGGGAAACTAGAAATGTTGGGATACATGAAATGGTTGCAATGTTTTTAAATACTGTTGGCTATGCGCTTAGTAGTAGGATGTAGCAAGAAAGATTTCAGCATTCAGGGGAGACAATTAGTAGACATTTTCATAATGTCTTACTGGCATGCTGTAGACTTGCTATGACCAACATCAAACCAAAAGATCCAACGTTTCAGCATTTGCATACTAAAATACGGCCTGGTGGTCGATACTGGCCCTTTTTCAAACATGCTATTGGAGCAATTGATGGAACACATATTTCGTGCATTGTTGATGCAACTGAGCAAACAAAATTTATTAACCGAAAAGGCAGAGTGACGCAAAATGTAATGGCTGTTTGCGATTGGGACATGTGCTTCACTTTTGTATTGGCCGGATGGGAAGGTAGTGCGCATGATGCTCGTATATTTGACCACGCCCTTACAACTCCTTCCATGAACTTTCCCCATCCGCCTCAAGGTATATTTTAAATTCCCACAATTTATTTATGCTTAACTATTACGAAAAACTTTTTATTGACACCAGTCATATATTTCATGTAGGAAAATATTATTTGGTGGATGATGGCTATCCGACGCCCATGGGATACCTTGGTCCCTACAGACGTGAACGCTACCATCTCCTTGATTTCCGAAGGTCATCTGCACTTGAAAATGACAATGAGACGTTCAATTATTTGCACTCAAGTCTACGGAGTACTATCGAAAGAACTTTTGGAGTTTGGAAGAGTAAGTTTGCAATTTTAGGAAACATGCCGAGCTATGACTTTGCAACACAGGTTCAAATTGTTTGTGCAACGATGGCCATACATAACTTCATTAGATCAACATCTATTTCTGATCCTGGTTTCATTCAGTTTGAACAAGAAGGTTCTTATGCAGAAGAGAATGATGATGATGGAGTTGGATCTTCACATATACCTTCATCAGTAGATTCTTCATCTCACATGGCTCGGCTTCGTGACTCCATAAGAGATCAAATTGTTCACTACATACAAGAATAGTTATGTCCTTTTTATTTTCTTTTTTCTTTTCACATAATGTAATGTGTTGTTAAAAAAACTTACTTGAACAAATATATTTCGTTGCAACCTCTATTATTAACAGAATTAATATGAAATTTTTTTGTGTGGTTATTTAATTTTGTGAAACAAAATTATTAGATTTCATCTTTCAAATCTTTAAGAAATAATAATATTTTCTTTGGCAAAATAAATCATTTTGCTAAAAACATATTTATTTATTTTATTACTATATATACACGGAAATTTTTTATTATTTATTTTATTTATACCTTATTTATTATGTTGCCAAAATATATATTATTAATAAATTTATTACTTAAAATAAACATATTATGAAATATATCTTATATGTAATTATCATTTAAACTTATGTCCTTTTTAGTAATTTTCACATATCAAAAAGCACTTCTGACATTAATTATCCAAACACTCTCACTTTCTCAGAATCACTTTTTTAAAAAATCTATTCTTTCAAAATCTATTCTCTCCAGAATCTATTCTCCAAAAGCTATTCTGCAAACCATGGTTTTGCCTCATCCAAACACCCAAGTCAAGTTTGGTAACGACACTTTAACAAATTTTGACAATAATTACAAATAATAACACATTTTTATAAAAAAAATTTCATTTGAGATTTAGTAATTTCAAACTTTTTTATGTGAGATTCTCCCTAATTAATATGTATATATATTTTGGTAAAGCCATGATTTTCCACCTCAAGTAGAAAAATTGGCTTCTTAGAAAACCATGGTTTTATCCTTCAAACCATGCTTTTGGTATACAAAATCAATTATTGAATTTTTGAAAGTGTTTGGATAGGCTTTCTCTAAAACCATGGTTTTAAAAAGTATCCAAACGTTTCAACCTGTCTCATCTTTTTTGAGATTCAAGGTACACCACTAATAAAGAGGTTAAAATTAAGAAATGATAATTAAGAACTCTTTAGATGACTTATACATAGTGAACAAATGATTTCTTCTAATAGGCATCCTATATTTTTAACCGGAGGAAGCATATCCCTTTTTGCAACTTGCCAAGTTATCATCACTCCATGTGCAAAAGTATGTGGGCGCCAAACAGTGCTTTTAGTAGTGGCGACATATTTTAGTAAGGCATCACTTTAATCGCCGAGCATAATTATTGGCAATTATTTTGCCAGTGTGGGCCCGCTTTGTCCCTTGCCAACGCCGGCCGGCAACTACCCTTTGCCATCAGCCACCGCTTGCCGTTGTCAATCACCGTCCTTCATTATATATTGTCATTTGTCGAGTGGCTTTTTTGTATTTTGAAAATAAATTTATACATTATCTCATATCCTTTAAGATAAGAGCTTATTTAATATTCAATTTTAATTCTAAATATAAGATCCTAATTCACTTTGTCTCTCATATTTGTCCTCTTTTTTTCTTTCCAAATTAGTCCTTATAGTAGTTGCATAGGTTAAACGTTCCATCAAATGGTAATTCTAGCTAATACATATAATAAGTAAGGATATTTTATAAAAGATAATATTTATTTATTATAAATAACTAATTTAACTAATTTTTTTAATCTACTCAAATTAGTCAACTAGCTCTTATACTCTGGTCTTTAATATGAGAGCTAGTTGATGACCAAAGTATAAGAGCTAGTTGACTAATTTGAGTAGATTAAAAAAATTAATTACGTTAGTTATTTGTAATAAATAAGTATTTTTTCCCCTAAAATACGCTCACTAATAAAATCTATTGGCTAGAACTATTATTACTACAAGTACTATATTATAAAAATAGATAAATATGAGAGACAAAATAGATTGGGGTTTTATATTTAGGACCAAAATAAAAGTCAAACAAATTTTTATATTAAGGACTGAATGTAGTAATATAAAGTATTTAACAAAATTTTGAAACAGCGGCACTAGGTAAGAAAATCCATGTGCATTAAAATATAGTAAGTTTTTTCCCCTGAAAAGAAAGGAATTGATGAATTCAATGGAAAATCATTCACATTCTTCCCATCATTCCTACGCCCTTTTTTATTCCATTTTCTTTAAAAGCTCTCCCATCAGACCAAATGAGTAGTAAAATTTGCATTCCGCCCCTTTAAGTATATATTTGGTTTTCAACATTAAATTTTGTAATCTTCTTCATATCCAACATACTAAATGATTGCGTCAATTGTAGGGTGCTCAGATCAACATCTACCCGAACTTTATTCTATTTGCTCTGTGATCTGTCTGAGACTTTGAAGAGTTCATGATTGTATCTGTCTCGATCTGATGATTCCTTGAATTGATGAATCAGATAGTGAATGATTTCTTTTGGTTGTGCACTGATTCCTTCGATAGCTCTTTCACATCTGTTTTTTTACCCAAAGTAACCGGTAGAGAAGGCCTAAAATTTTCGTCCATGGCCACCTGCAGAATGTTCTGGTGCCTGGTTGGTGTTTCATATTCCAATTCAGCCATTCCTGCAAATCAACGCAGAATAATAGATAGGGTCAATGATAGATAACCACACTGTTTGCAATCTCAGTGTCTCTCAAAATGTGTATAATATAGACTCCTCATCACTCGGGAATTCAAAGGAACACTCAGCTTGCTTTGTTATGCCTCTCTTGGTTCTGAGATTGAGAGATTCTTTTGAATACAAATGAAGCCGGTAAGTATGGTCACCTTAGACTTTTTTATTTATTTTTTTAAACGAGTTGAGGATCATTTCATAATTTGTGTTGAAAGTGCCATGTAATAATGACAAGATGGAGTACTATTATTTGGTCCCGGGCATGCCGGCAGAAGGGACAGGTAAGCAAGATTACTCGTTAATTAATTGTTGATTGCAGAGAAACAAAAATCGTTTGGGGCATTCACTCAAGAAAACCAAAAACGGTTTAGGGCAGAGATTGAGGCAAGGGGGCAAACTGAAGTCACTGCCGGCTATTACCACAACCTGTCATTGTCAATCTCCAGCCACCACTTGTCAAGAGGATTTTTTTTGTAATTTAAAAGTTAAAATTAAATTGTTTTCTCAAACAAAATTAGATGTATGATCATTACACTATACTACGTTGAACCCAAATTAGGTAATAAAAATAAAAATCTATGATCTAACCCTAGCCCTAATTTGAAAGGATAACCTAATTTAAAGATAATTTAGATATCTGTATGTATGTACATATGTGTGCTATCTTTTATGGAGATTTACAATAAGTCACAAAGGATAAGTCCCAATGGCAATTGAACAAGTGTCATTTTTATTCTAGAACTTATTATTGTAGGCTACTTTGTTATCACTGGGATTTTTTTAGTACTTATGTTCATTTCTTAGGACTTTATAACAATTATTCAAACAAAAATATAATTCGTTTCTAAATTTCGATGTGATGGGACACTACAGAAAAGAACGGAGATGTGGCAGAAAATTTAATTTTTGTTATTTCTTGTTGCTCCTCTGTTCGATTTGCAGTCATGACTTGTTGGTTCCTAGGCTCAAGGTCGAGGGGGAACTGCATTTCATTCTTGTTTTTATTTTAATTCATTATATATACTTCCATCTTTCCGTGCGACTAATTAATAAGAACTTTAACTCGTATTGATCATACAGATCTCTCTCGTAACTCGTCATATTATATAGGTCCTCAAAATGTCAACATTGAGAGGTGACTTGGAACAGAACTCACCGATCGACTTTGATCCTCTCGCGGTGCCGCACTATGCTTCATCGGGCGGCTCTTCCCCTTCCCATGGCGGTGCAGCCGTAAGATCAAATCTTGACTCACCATTGGCATTTGGAGAATCATCAGGTGACATAGAACATTGCTCACCAGGGCCACACGAGGAATCAGGTGAATGACTACAAAAGCTTTTTTCTTTTTTGGTGTCATTTTTGGATCAACATCTGTAGAAAAATATCGCAGCGGTTGTGTTAACTAAGTTGAACTTAATGCTCTTTACAAACATGGAACCTTGTCAAGGAGTCTCAACAAAGAAGTGTTTTTATGTACCTAAATAATTCTCAAAACTTGCATTGTCCTTCAAAATACTAACACTTCTCTGCCCTTCTCTAGATCTCTCTTTCTGCGCCTCTCACTCCCTACCTCCCTCTTCCATTTATCCTTCTAACTCCAACCATCTCATGCCCAATTTCCTTCTTCATTTATTAACCTTCCCCCATTTTTCTCCCTCCTCTTTAATTATCGGTGAAAAAGCTGGGTCTTCATTTTTTTTTTTAAATAATAAAATATGATTATTTTATAATAATAAAATATTATTATTTTATATTTTTTAATTTAATTTTTTTGAAATAATAATAATTTTTTTATTGGAATAATATTTAGGATGTTACACCGCAACAACTAAATATACAAATGAATATTATGATGGTGTTGTGTTGAAATAGGCACTCCTCTTCAAAATATTAATATAAATACATTTTTAGCAGAAATTTAAATTTTAATGTGTCATGTCATAAGAACTTAGCTTTTTTCATAACGCTTACCCTCCATTGATTTTTCTCTTTTACTTTTATTTCCTTCTTATTACCTCCTATTTTTTTCCTCAATTCTCTCTTCCTCTTGCTTTTCTCTTTTCCCAAAGATTACATAATGTCTAACTTTCCGTTTGAAATTTCTGTAGTCATGCTAACCCCTCAACATCGTTGGCGGCCCCCACAAAAAAAAAAAAAAAAAAACTCAAACCCGTTCCTCCAAACAGAAATGTTTAATCGATTTTAAGCAGTTAAAAAAAAAAAAGGGCAACTGTGTAAAGCGAAAACTATGAATAAGTTAGTAGAAAAAGGAAAGGACCACGAGGATAATTACTTGCTACTGGCAATCCATGAGCCTGCATGAAGACAAAGACCACTAAAATGATGTGATTTATCAGATATGATTCCAACAATAAAAGCTTTTCACGGACTCACTGTACACATTGTGATGAAAATTGGCAGCTTTTCTAATATGACGATAAATTTCAGAATACTAAATGAATTAGGACTTTAGATTGAACTGAAAAACTAGCTCATAAGTTAGAGGTATCAACTTAAAAACTAATATTTAAAAGATATTTAAATCTTATAAGTATCACGACTAGAGAAAATATGAGACTCATCATTTATCGCTCGCATCCAAAAAGTAATAATACCACATTGGGCCTTTTTTTTAAAAAAATTGGAACTTGATTATAAATGTCCCCTAAAGTATGTAAGAGACGTGACCCGTCACCAAACAACACGCATGCGCGCACCGAACAACACGCATATGTGGGCCAGACATATGGTTCCAAATAAAATGACACTGTAAAATATTTACTAAATCCATCAGTTTAACTACTGGAAAATATCCACCAAATCTATTAGTTCAAATTTAAATTCAAATATTCAAATATCTTTTAGTTAATAAGATTATGAATTTGAATTTAAATTCAGAATCAACCGTAATTAATTTTAAATATATATTTAATATATATTTAATCTGTACAATATAAATTTATTTAACTTATATTGTAACCGATTTGCTTTGATTAAGATATTTGACCGAGTTAAAATATAATAATTTTTTTTGGATATTTAATTAGAATATTCTCTTAATATCCAGTCAAATAATCTGACCCATCAAGAGCATATCTAAGTCCAAAAATCCAACACTCCCTGTAACCTAAGTCCGTAACAGCATCAAGTTCAACTTTCATATTTATGGCCTAAGCCAGTGGTTTCAACACGCCATACTCCTCATTTTTGTCGCCTTCCGGACTACCAAGTAGGGACTGCTTTTCGGTGTTCTCAACGTTGTTTACCGGTGAATCCTCCGGACCTTGGGCTGTTGACTCCTCAGATTCATTCAATGGGCACTGCTCTTGATTGTGGCCGTATCTACCATATTTGAAGTAGATGATTTCAAGCCCTCATATTCAACATGATAAAGCTTTTTCCTCGACATAAATCTGGACCACCAGATTTGACAAAATCCACGTCAACACTTAATCTAGCAAATTTACCTCTCTCCACTGTAGTGTCATTCCTATTGCCACGAGCCAAGGTATTTAAATCCACCTTCAAAGCTTTCCCAATAATGTTTTCCAACTCTAGCATACAATCCTCAGAGTAAATATGGATAGGAAGTGTTGGGATTCTAACCCAAATGGCTACCTTTCGAACCTCGTTATAGTACGGGTTGAAATTTGGACTCCAGTGGCACAATTAAGTAGTGCCCCTGTATAAGCCATGGCCTACCAAGCAATAATCTCCTGCATAACTCCTTGTCCTTTGCTCGAAAGACAAAATACTCATTGGGCAATTCAATAATTTCAAGTCTCTGGATTTTAAGAGCCAAAACACTCTGTCCTTCATCATGTCTAGGCTGTTAAAGCAACCTAGAAGAGTAATAATCAAAGCATCCTTCCATTTTCTCATGGCCCACCATTCCTTGAAATGGTCATGCTTTTTAGAATTTGGACAGCAGCGAAAGATACGCGATCCAAGAGGGGCACAAATGGCGATGCCGCGGGTGTGAACGAGGCACCTTCCCGGAAGTACACAAATGGTCATGCCTTTTAGAATTTGGACAGCAGCGAAAGATACGCGTTCCAGGAGAGGCACAGATGGTCATGCCGCGGGTGTGAACGAGGCACCTTCCCGGAAGTACACAAATGGTCATGCCTTTTAGAATTTGGACAGCAGCGAAAGATACGCGTTCCAGGAGAGGCACAAATGGTCATGCCGCGGGTGTGAACGAGGCACCTTCCAAGAAGCTCACAAAGAAAGAAAGAACTTTCAGAAGTCTATATTTAAGACAATATAATCTGCCTCTCGCCTTCGTCTGTGTTACCGTCTTGATCTCTTCGCGTCGTTCTTCACACTTCATTAGCCATCGGCGTTTGCACCTCTCGTCTCCGCCTCTCTTGTTCACAGTCCTTCTTCTGGGGCTCCGAGTTCGCCGTCCTGCTTTCCGATTGCGGCGTTAGATCCTGAGGAAACTGGTGGTAATGATTATTCTGCTGAAGATTAGGCTTTTACACACGATTAAGATTAACATGAACCTTTTTTAATTATTTGGTGATTCTGTGTTCCCAACTTGTCTCCGTCTGTTTCTCTGATTCATTACTAACTCACACTTTTATATGAGTAAGAGTCAGATCACAATGACAAAATTATATTGTGTATCCAACTTTTTTGCATATATTGGTGGTGCCGTGGAGTCAGTTGTATACATAGGCTTTGTGGAGACTGATCACTGAAGCAGATCAAGGCTCGAGTTGGTAAGTGCATTTGATTCTTATTTTTATTTACTTAATGCAATATATATGTATCTATAATATTTCCTCAAGACCTATTTTTGTAGACCGGAGTAGAATTTTTTATGGTGTATTCCAAATTTTGTTTTATGGTTACGAAATAATAATGTAGGGACTGAGAGTTCACCCTAGCCACAAGCCACCATGCTCGTGTTCCCTCCTTCAGATCAAAGCCACCCAACAGGTCAGGTCAATCTTATATTATTATTGGGCCTTCCATTATTTTCTGCATCGAATGGCCTGTACAAAGCAGTGATTTCATCATGCTATAGGTTTAGTTTTGAAGCTGAGTCGTGTGATGAAGCTTCAACTAAGAAAAGATTTCTTCTTCTTCTTCTTTTCTTTTTATTTATTTATTTATTTGTTTTGTTCTGTTCTCCTACCGCTGTGTTTGGCTTGACAGAGGGAAAGGGAAAGGAGAGATTTTAATCAAGAGAAGGGGAGAGGAGGAAAGGGAAGGGTAGCTACAAAAAGGGAGGGAGGGAGGGAAGAGATTTTAATGATTTTTCTATTTGAATTAATTGGAGGGGAGGGAAGGGAAAAATTTTAATGATACCTTATTTTGTTCTAATAAAAAATTAATTATTTTAACCTCATAAAATTTAAATGAATTTTCTTACTTTTTTATTTTATCAAAATATAACTATATATATAATGTAATTCACCAATTTTGACTTACAAGATACTGTCACACATTTATAGGATATCAAGATAAAAAGTCGTGAGTGATACATTTCAATCAGAGAAAAGACTTTGAAGGTTAAAGAAAATACCAACAGCCTCTTGGAATAAGAAGAAGAGGAAGGAAAAAAAAGGTTCACAAATGCTCACTAATTTTGAAGACAATTATCTCAACAACCTCTTGCTATATGTTCAAAAGAACTCTCTTATGTAGAAATGTTTACGACTGATTAGGGGTTAACAAATCAAAAATATATATGAGAAATTAAAATATTATCTTTTATCTCCTCTCCAAAAAACTTTCACTTTTGGAGGGGATGCTAGAAGGGAAGAGGAGAGGAGCAGAGCCCCTCCCCTCTTTAACAAATATCTTAACCAAACAAGGGGAGGGAAGCTCCCTTCCTAAAAAATTGTACCAGCCAAACAAGGGGATGGGAGCAACTTCCCTCCCCTCCCCTCCGAAAACCTTATACCAAACATAATGTACAGGGAGATGCATTATATTCTTTTATCAAATTATTTTATAATATTCCAAATATAGATAGAAAGATTGCTCGCTAGCTTTATCAGTCAATTATATGTTTAGGGCTCATTGGTTTAGAACCCGTTTAGAATAGCTTATAAGTAGCTTTTCAATAATGATTTATAAAGTGCAAAGTAAATATGTGAGAGGAGTTCAGCTTTTGAAAAATCTTACCACTATGATCTTTGATTATGGGCCTGTTTGTTGATGTCACTTTTTTAATCAAATGATCTTCAGATTATTTAGAAGAGTAATGATTGCTTAGCTCAACCGTACCATTTTCTTTTGGGCTATGGTTCACAAGAAAGCACTATTTTTTTAATAATTTGAACAAGCATATCCTAAACTTTTAAAAATAACTAAAATCTAAGAAAAGCATATTACTAATTATTTTAAGTAGCTTATGAAAATAATCAAATATAATTGTTTATGAAATCTAATTATTACGTGAATATATCATTATATTTTAAGATAAATAAGTAATATATTAATTTTATGACTTTAACCTAATCAAAATTATTTCTACTTTTAATCAAAATAGGTAAGGAGTGGCCTCTTTTGAGATCCGAAAGGTCTTTCTTTGTCTCTCTGTCTTCCTCTCTTTCTCTCTCTATATATATTTGTACGTATAAATAAGACAGGAGGTTTGAGTAATTAGCAAACAAGAAGGATATGTAATTTGGGTATTTTTTTAACTCAAATCGTCATTAATAAAGCGCTTGCTTGTAGATGGACGAAAGGATAAAGCTTGAGGCATTTTACAGGTAACATAGACGTTTTTGTGAACATTAATCATTGAAGCAGCCAAAGCTTGGGTTGGTATGGGTGTATAAATATGTTTGTGAAGATTAATCATTGAAGCAGCCATGCCTCGAGTTGGTATGTGTGTATAAATATGTTTGTGAAGATTAGTCACTGAAGCAGCCAAGGCTCAAGTTGGCATGTGTGTATAAATATGTTTGTGAAGATAAATCACTGAAACAGCCAAGGCTTAAGTTGGTATGTGTGTACAAATATGTTTGTGAAGATTAATCACTGAAACAGCCAAGCCTCGAGTTGGTATGTGTGTATAAATATGTTTGTGAAGATTACTCACTGAAGCAGCCAAGGCTCGAGTTGGTATGTCTGTATAAATATGTTTGTAAAGATTTATCACTGAAGCAGCCAAGCCTCGAGTTGGAATGTGTGTATAAATATGTTTGTGAAGATTAATCACTGAAGCAGCCAAGCTCAAGTTAGTATGTGTGTATAAATATGTTTGTGAAGATTAGCCATTGAAGCAGCCAAGTCTCAGGTTGGTATGTGTGTATAAATTTGTTTATGAAGATTAATCACTGAAGAAGCCAAGCCTCGAGTTGGTATGTGTGCATAAATATGTTTGTGAAGATTAATCAGTACTGAAGCAGCCAAGTTCAAGTTGGTATGTGTGTATAATATGTTTGAGAAGATTAATCACTGAAGTAGCCAGGCCTAGAGTTGGTATGTGTGTATAAATGTTTGTGAATATTAATCACTGAAGCAGCCAAGTTCCAATGGGTATGTGTGTATAAATATGTTTGTGAAGATTAATCACTGAAGCAGCCAAGTCTCGGGTTGGTATGTGTGTATAAAGATGTTTGTGAAGATTAACCACTGAAGCAGCCAAGTTCAAGTTGGTATGTGGGTGTAAATATGTTTGTGAAGATTAACCACTGAAGCAGCCAATGCTCGAGTTGGTATGTGTGTATAAATATGTTTGTGAAGATTAACCATTGAAGCAGCCAAGGCTCGAGTTGGTATGTGTGTATAAATATGTTTGTGAAGATTAATCACTGAAGCAGCCTAGTTCAAGTTGGTATGTGTGTATAAATATGTTTGTGAAGATTAATCACTAAAGCAACCAAGGCTTAAGTAGGTATATGTGTATAGATATGCTTGTGAAGATTAATCACTGAAGTAGCCAAGGTCAAGTTGGTATGTGTGTATAAATATGTTTGTGAAGATTAATCCTGAAGCAGCCAAGTTCAAGTTGGTATGTGTGTATAAACATGTTTGTGAAGATTAATCCTGAAGCAGCCAAGTTCAAGTTGGTATGTGTGGATAAGCATGTTTGTGAAGATTAATCACTAACGCAGCCAAGCCTCGAGTTGGTATGTGTGCATAAATATGTTTGTGAAGATTAATCACTAAAGCAGCCCAGCCTCAAGTTGGTACGTGTGCATAAATATGTTTGTGAAGATTAATCACTAAAGCAACCAAGTTCAAGTTGGTACGTGTGTATAAATATGTTTGCGAAGATTAATCACTAAAGCAGCCAAGCCTCGAGTTGGTATGTGTGTATAAATATGTTTGTGAAGATTAATCACTGAAGTAGGAAAGCCTCGAGTTGGTGTGTGTGTGTGTGTAAATATGTTTGTGAAGATTAATCACTGAAGCAGCCAAGTTCAAGTTGGTATGTGTGTATAAATATGTTTGTGAAGATTAATCACTGAAGCAGCCAAGGCTCAAGTTGGTATGTGTGTATAAATATATTTGTGAAGATTAATCACTAAAGCAGCCAAGGCTCGAGTTGGTATGTGTGTATGAATATGTTTGTGAAGATTAATCACTGAAGCAGCCAAGGCTCCCAAGGCTCGAGTTGGTATGTGTGTATAAATATGTTTGAGAAGATTAATCACTGAAGTAGCCAGGCCTAGAGTTGGTATGTGCGTATAAATGTTTGTGAATATTAATCACTAAAGCAGCCAAGGCTCCCAAGGCTCGAGTTGGTATGTGTGTATAAATATATTTGTGAAGATTAAGCACTGAAGCAGTCAAGGCTCGAGTTGGTATGTGTGTATAAATATGTTTGTGAAGATTAACCACTAAAGCAGCCAAGTTCAAGTTGGTATGTGTGTATAAATATGTTTGTGAAGATTAGCCACTGAAGCAGCCAAGGCTCGAGTTGGTATGTGTATATAAATATATTTGTGAAGATTAATCACTAAAGCAGCCAAGGCTCGAGTTGGTATGTGTGTATAAATATGTTTGTGAAGATTAACCACTGAAGCAGCCAAGGCTCAAGTTGGTATGTGTGTATAAATATATTTGTGAAGATTAATCACTAAAGCAGCCAAGGCTCGAATTGGTGTGTGTGTATAAAGATGTTTGTGAAGATTAACCACTGAAGCAGCCAAGTTCAAGTTGGTATGTGGGTATAAATATGTTTGTGAAGATTAACCACTGAAGCAGCCAATGCTCGAGTTGGTATGTGGGTATAAATATGTTTGTGAAGATTAACCACTGAAGCAGCCAATGCTCGAGTTGGTATGTGGGTATAAATATGTTTGTGAAGATTAACCACTGAAGCAGCCAAGGCTCGAGTTGGTATGTGTGTATAAATATGTTTGTGAAGATTAACCACTGAAGCAACCAAGTTCAATTGGTGTGCGTCTATAAATATATTTGTGAAGATTAATCACTAAAGCAGCCAAGGCTCGAGTTTGTATGTGTGTATAGATATGTGTGTGAAGATTAATAACTGACGCAGTTAAGGCTCAAGTTGATATGTGTGTATAAATATGTTTGTGAAGATTAATCACTGAAGCAGCCAAAGCTCAAGTTGGTAAGTGCATTTGATTCTTAGTTACATCTTAATTAGTGCAATATATACCGAGTCATTTTTTTTTTGGAGTATATATACTGATATTTGTGGAATATTTAGAAAATCTTTCTTCTTATTTATTTTTTTATTTTATTTTTTGAATGGGGGGACACATAATATTCTTTTATCAAATTACTTTATAATATTCTAAATATAGAAAGATTGCTCGCTAGTTTTGTTAGTCAGTTATATGTTTAGGGCTCGTTTATTTAATCTCTCTTTATTTTTAAAAAAGTTTTTTTTTCCCAAAAGGATACTTCTGAAAAATATTATGATCTGATTTTCAAATTATTTAAAAGTGTAATGGTTGCTTGGCTCAACCATTTTCTTTTGAGTTATGGTTCATAAGAAAGCAGTATTTTAAATAGCCAAAAAAAACTTTTTTTTAGAAAAATTTGAAGAAACATATTCTAAACTCTTAAAAATAATTAAAATCTAAAGTGTTAATATGAGGGATGAGATTATACATCTCAGTAAACTGAAATTCTAGTTTATACAAGCAAATCATATATGATAAACAAAAATCTATTTATATGTGTGTGTATTTTTGTGTATGGAAATCACAGATGTATACATTCAACTTAATTTCATTTTTAAGTTAACAATATACTAACATTATTTTCCAATATATCCCAAATTAATGCAATATGCATATTATTCCAACCTCAACTATACTTAAGATATATCTGGCAAAAGCTACAAAGTGTAAGTTCAGACTATGGCTCCCTTCCTTTTAAAAATAAGTTAATAATTATATGTACGTACTCATCTTGATGCTTGCATGCTTACATGGTGTGGATTACAGGAGAGGAAAGAGATACATGGAAGGATGATTTGTGCCATGCAATATGTGTTAACAACTGGAGTGATGCGAAAGTAATTCTGAAGCGAAAGCCTAATGCGTTGACTGCAAAAATTGATAATCAAGGAAGAACACCACTTCATGTGGCTGCAATGTTCGGGCACATCACGATAGTGGAAGAGTTGCTGACATCACTGCCTCCACAGTTCCTTGAAACTCCTGATTTGTTCGGCGATACAGCACTTGGATTGGCTTGTCGGTTTACTGGAATCACCCAAGTTGCAAAATGCCTCGTAAACAAGAATTACAGCATAGTTTACATACCAAATAGGGATGATAACCTTCCTGTTACAGTGGCTTTTGCAGATGGTTGCCAAGAAATGGGACGTTTTCTTTATTCTGTCACTCCATTGGAATACCTCACAGGCTGTCGGGGTTCCAGGCTTCTTCGTTATTGTTTCCGTGCACAATGTTTCGGTATGTTATATAGTATTATACTACCTTCCGCACTGAATATAAAATCTAGTTTGGAGCGTATATTATTTCTTGTCATTTCTCTCCATGTTTTTATGCTCTTGCCAATTCCTGGTGTGACTTTGATGCAGATATTGCACTGGATTTGCTTCAAAAATGCACAGAATTGCTTTTCATGCCTGTCGATAATGAAGGGTGGACGCCAATTCATGAGATTGCGACCTTGAACACTGCTATTGTTTGCCCAAGTGAACTTATCTTCTGGAAAAAATGGATTTATGACTGTAAGTATCTGTGTGCTAAGCTAGCTATATAAATTTCAAATGCTTTCCTTTCTCTGTCATTATCATATATATTTCTTTATAATCATTATTGTTATTTATGAATTTCTTTAACAATGTTGTGTCTTTGCCCATCTAAGATATAAATATACCTTCAACTACAAGTATCAATCATGTTAGTGTTGACATCCAACAAGACAAAAGTCAGGGGCATAAAGTGAAACTTACTGAGCCAGGTACGTTAGAAAAATATTGCTGGGAGAATAGGAATAATATATAAATTTGCAGATTAAAACGTGTAACTCTTACGTTGCTTTTTTTAAGTAATATTAATTAACATGGATTAAAGGTTTGGCCTTAATTCACAGGGCATGGCTTATTACCGGGGCTCATCACCGCCATCAATAATTTTATAGGTATGGATGCTAACTTCCATATATCTGTATAAAGAATTGGTTACTTGTCCAAGCTTACGCGTAATTCTCATAAATTAAATTAAACTAATGAAAAGATCCATGTGTGATACATATCACGTAGGAGTTAAGAAACTACAAGAGCTAAAGCTGTTGCATGCACAAGCAGATGGCGTTGTTCGTTTAGTTTGTCGGAATGCAAGGGAAGCACACCAAAAGGGAGTTATAGATGAGGCTTTATGTCTTGCAGCTAGAGAAGGAAATGTTCAGTTTGTGTTTCAAGTATCAAGAGCAATCCCAGAGATTTGCCTCAGTAAAACGATGGTTTTGTGTTTCCATACAGCTCTTGATTATCGGCAAGCCAAGGTCTTCAACCTCATCCATGGGTTTCGCTTCAAGCATCGCATGGTAACAATGACACCCGATAATGATCCTAGAAATACCATGATGCATAAGGTGGCTATAAAGGCTCCTGATCACGTTCTTAATCGCATCTATGGACCAGCGTTTCAAATGCAAAGAGAGTTGCAATGGTTCAAGGTTAGTTTTGAAATTCTCATATGAGACGGCTTATTGGTTGTATGACATTTCATACCATTGCTTTTAGTATCGAATTAGTAATTAAATCAATGAAATCATTAATTAGCTTAAGGTTTATTAAAACAAAAAACACATGCATTGATTTTTTTTTCTTTTTGTTTAATTTTTTCGTCTCCTTTTATATATACTTATCATACATTCCCTCTTATTCAAAATATAAGACAAGTTTTGTTAGAAGGGCTTGGTTTTTTTATAAGGTATATTTTAGTTTTATCTAGGCATTTAATGAGTCTTTTTCAATGTTACTCCCATATATTCTCTTTTCTCTTTGATTCACTTATTGCATCTTTTACTCATTTTCTTCATTAATAAGGGCATATTTAAGAAAAAGAACACATGCCTTGCATATTTATTATGTTAAACTGATTGTGACTGATTTCTAGATAAACATAAATTTATCTTATATTTTGAATCAGAGGAAGTAATATTTAAGGTCCTCTAAAATATTCAATTGGTTATATATATGGTGTCGGATTTTGATTTGAATGTGAAATACAACGCCATTGTTGGCATTTAAATATGAATTAACACCACTTGGAATAAATGCAGGAGGTTGAGAGCGTAACGCCTCCAAACTTCAGAGTACTTAAAGACAATAAAGGCAGGACAGCTGAAGAATCATTTAGAGAACATCACAGAGAACTAATGAAGCAAGGGGAAGAATGGATAAAAGCTACAGCATCTTCTTATTCTCTTGTTGGCTTCTTAATTGTCACCATCACATTTGCTGTAGCTTTTACTCTTCCTGGAGGAAATGATCAGAACTATGGATTCCCCTTATTCATGAAACAACCGACTTTCAATGTTTTTATACTCTCAACCGTAGTATCCCTCGTCTCTTCCTCAACTTCTGTTCTAATGTTTCTGGCCATCCTTACGTCTCCCTTTTCAGAAGAAGCATTCCTCAATTTCTTACCTTCAAAGTTGCTTTTCGGGGTTTCTACACTTCTTATCTCTGTTGTGGCTATGATCATCACATTTCTCTCTGCCATTCGTCTCACGCTGAAGCATTCAAACTATCATGGGGCTATCCTTCCCATTATTTTATTCACAAGTGTTCCCATCTCTTATTCCCTATGGTCACTAATTCCTGTCATTCGTAGTACTGCCTTTTCAGCTTATGGGACTGTCTTTGATAGGAAAGTGACACTATGGCCATGAAAGCCGAAAGGCATATGTAACTGATGTCCCACTCTGCGTTCTATTATTTGACCATTTGCCATATTTCATGTAAGTCACATTGAAATAAAAAGAAATGAAAAGTTGCAAAACGAAAATACAGTGCCCACCCACTATCCCGTGCTAATTTATTGATCCCACTACTGTAGAAAATCTTTTTTATGGAGATTAAAAAGGGTTTTTCACAGCTATTTTAGAGGTGTAGTGATTATTGTGGATGTAAAGAGCTAAGGATTTTACGGCGGTTATGAATGCTTTGAAAATTTACTTCCTATGGTGGACTTTAGGAAATAACCATTGTGAAAAGGTCTTTTTCACAAATAACGTTAAAAGACTCACTTTTCACAGTAGTTATTTAATTAACCACTATTAAAAGATATTTCCATTGCAGTTAATAAAATAACCTTCGTGAAAAGTTTAAATTTTATTATATAAATTTGTTACAATTTGTATACAACCTTCCTCTAATACCAAATCAAAACAGGCTAATTTTAGCCAGTAAAACATACCAAAATACTGTAAAACCAATTGAAAGCTAAAACATAATGTTAGATTTGAGTTTTAGCATTGAATTCATTGACCAACAACCTAACCATTCCATAGTTCAACTAAACCTAATAGTCAATGAACCAAAAAATCTCTGTTCAACTATTAGTACCAAAAGTATGAACTTCAACTATACTGCATGTTTATCAACCCATATTCTTAAGAAATGTTCTCGACCAACCATCCCTCATTGAGTTGATTTCGTCAGGTTCATATTTTGCATTATCTTGAAATACCTATAAATTAAAAAGAACAAAGTCATCAGCCAACTAAATCAAAGATATAAAAAAATATAATTTTTATTTATCTTGTCTAATTTCTTAGTAACTCCTATCTCATTAATGTCATCCATATAGTGAATCATGTAATATCCCCATTCAACACTCCCAGATTGATAACGGTACTAACAAAATGAAAAATAGAATTGAATACATTAGGAAATATACAACTTTTAAAAATTTATAAATAAAAAACTTAGCTCACAACAACTTATTTTTGGGAGAATCCATATTGGTAGTGGCTTTTTGTTCTTGGTCAGTACATTGAATCCTTGAAAAGCCCTATCAACAATTAGAAAAAAAAAAAAAGATATTATAGCACGTTATTGTAAACTTTATACCTAAAAAATTTATAAACATAAATTTATCCCATCACAAATAAGATACTTTCTTATCTTAGGAATACTCCGCTGACTATTTTTTAAACAATTGACACAAGGACAGCAATTCAAGTAATCCCTTTTATTAGGGGTATTTCTCTCAACAAATTTAAGAAACCTTTCAACTCCATTTGCATATTCTTTGCTAATTCTCCTAGCTTTTATTCAAGTACAATCCATTGTTCTGTATAATCAAAGAACATAATTGTTAAGCTCAATTCTAACTACTTAATTCGAATCTTTAAATAAATCAGTTAATTAAGTATATATTAGTCAATAAATAAAATTGATTACTACTTAATTACAAATTAAAGGGAATACATTTTTTATTTTATAAAATTTTTGGTAGAGTTTTCCCTTAAATATAAGGAATCCCAAATAATGTCCAAATCAACCAACCAACCAATTAACAATATAAATCAACTAACCAGCAATATAAGAAATAAATAAAAAGAAAATTTGAACAATTATAATCAACAAAACAATCCCAAACCAACAAATAAAAAAGCTTAAGAGTAAAACTTCTGAATCCAAAAATAAAACCCAAATGACATCCGTTTGTCATGAAATTTTAAACGAAACTCATCAATCAAAGTTCCTAGCTGGAAAAAACTTTTGGCCAAATACTCAACAGGTTCATAACAACAGATTGTCAAAAATTTGTAAAAAATTCAAAATAGATATCTAAAATTATTTAAAAAATTACAAAATTAAAAAATAATCAAGAATAAAGGTTTCAACAAACATCTTATGACGTGCATAGCAAGTAATCAACTATAACAAATAAGTATCAATCAAACTCAATTCCAATGAACTCCAAATTCGCATATAAACCTCTCTAACAAGCAAAAGAAAAAAAAATGCAATCCTTCTAAAATACTAAAATAAATATACCCATTTGATAAATCATGGTTTTCAATAAACAGACATACTAAAAGAACAACACCAAAGCATTAGAACGAGGAGGAAGCAAGAAGAGAGAGCTTATCACATAATAGGAGAAGAAAACTCAAAAAGAACAGCAAACAATGATGGCAACGAGGCAGAGAGGTCGGCGACACTGGAAACCAGAGGGAATCACCGATGAGGGGTTGTCATTGAAATCTGGAGTGGGGCAGGGGTAAGGGACCACCGACCACGATGGCAAAAAGGTTTAGGGAAAAAAAGTGAAATTGTGATGTTGATATCGCGAGGATTCTGTTTAAAATTTGAAAAAATATTATGGGGTTTTATAATACTATCGCTAAAAGTACTTTTAACAGCGTTTACAAATTTAAACACCGTTAAAAGATCTTACCACAGTGTTTTGGAACGTTTCTACCTTTTTTTAGTGGGGGACTGGTTTTTCATAGCGATTTTATTAATAATTGACGCAAAGAGTGAAATTTACTGTCACTTAATTATAAAAATGTCACTGTCTCTTTTTAATGACAATTTTACTATTAACCATCGTAAAATAGCGTCATTAAAACTATTTTTTCTAGTATTGTCTCCTCTGTCTTTCCTACTCTTCCTGTTCCAAATATCAATTGATTTGGTTCTAGAAGGGACACACCCTCACATGCTCACTTGGAGTTTGGTGCCATTTAAGCCGCATACTTGTAAAAGTTGGTTCCATTTTGAAATCTCCTAAATGAAGAGTATTGCATCGACCTAATTTTGGGCGGAAATTATACCATAAGTTTATATATACAGGCAATATATATATATATATATATATAGACATGCACTTACCAAATTCATTAGCATTCCTATTATCCTTGCCTTTCTAGTATAGGTGAAATAATATTGGGAAAAAAGATTATATACTTTTAATTAAGATGCTCAGGGGATGCTCTCGTTTTCTCATATTCCTTATATTTAAGATGGGATTGAATTAATTTTCCTTCGTTACTTCGCGAATCTAAGGTATTGATGTGAAATTCAGCATCAAGTTTGACCGGTTGTCGTTTACCCATACAAGAAGTTGGTATAGGGCATCATTTCGGCCTATCTCTCCTTCGCTTATAATCCAATAGTAGGTGCGCGCGCGTGAAAACTCTTGTCCTAGGGTCTTTCCTGGGGTTTTGTCAAAGCGGGGTCTTCGTTGGATTTCTCTCCACGGACCACGGCGGGAGATTCTAGTGATGGCGTCTTGGGGTTTCTGCAGTTTCATGCCTGAGATTTCGTCAGGTAAGTGAAGGAAGGTGTTTTGATAAGGGTGAGATAGGAGATTGCGGCTGGCTTTCCAATGAGATGGAGCAGGGTTGTCTGCTTCGAGAAAAAGGAGCTCTGAGTCTGGCGGCAGCGATTCAGAAGGTTGGCGGGGATCTTAACGTTTATCAGCTCGGAGGCTTTGAGAGGGTGGGGATCAAGACTTACAAGGTAGTCGAGGAGTCGATAATGCTGGGTGAAGCTTCGTTAAAGGTTGGAATCAAGACTCTGAAGAATCTGAAGTTTAACACACTGAAGCTGTGGGATGGTCTGAAGTTGGGATCGATAGAAGCTCATCTTGCTGATACTTGCTTTCTGAGGTTTGGTGGCTGGCTCACAGCCACCCAATCGCCATGAGGGTCTTTGCTCAATGCTACCAGGAGTGGGGGGATCTCTGTGGTGTGCATTTGGAGTATAGGTCTCCCCTGTTTGTTTTTAGGATTAAGCACTGTGATTTGTTTTTGTACTTTTTTTTTTGTGGTTGTCTTGTTTAATCTGTTTCACCTTTTTTTTGGGTTATTTTTGTTTGTTCTGGATGCTGTTTACTTCTGTCATGATCACTGTTTCTTTTCTATTTGTTGTCAAATTTCAAAGGTCTCTTCACCCTTCTGTCACATAGGGGTTTGTTGAAGCTGCTTTTGTCTTTGCAGCATTGGCATCAAAGAAGGTGGGCCCGGAAGAGCATGTCTTTGGACTTTGGACAACGACTCTCTATTGTTCTTTCTTTTGATTACGGTGGAATAAAAACTGGCCTCCTCACTTTCAACCTGCAAGTTTAGGCTAGTTGTCTTTATTCGGTTTGTCTCTGTAGCTCTGCGGTGTCGTCTGGCTGTTGTCTTCGTTTCTTTTCTATTTCGGCATAAGTGTCTCTATTACGTTTTTCTTTTAATGCTATTAAGCTTTTCCGGTTTTTTTAAAAAAAAGGGTTCATGCGCGGAACTTTATATATATATATATATATATATTTCTTTTTTTTTTATCAAGTCATTTAAATTTATTCCGTTAATTAGCTATGTTAGTACCTAATGTTTAAAACCGTTTAATAGGGCCAGGTAGCAAAATATGTCTTTTCTTCTTCTTTGGATTCAACTTCATCTTTAATTACAATTTTTATAGAAAAAGACATGAAACAAAAACATTTTTTGAACCTTTTCCTTTATATAAGCCGAGCTTTCCTTTAATTTCTTCCTTTTTCCGTTTTTTCTTTTTAAGTTGCAGCAGGACATCCTTTGCTTCAATGGCTCATCTTCTCTGCTTATAATTTTATAGGTAGGCGTATCTTCTAACTAACATATCATGCTTCCAAAAATGACATACTATTCTAAAGTTTTTTATTATTGGATAGGCCCGCATATTGCATGCAGCATTATTTATGATACATAAATAGCATAATTTGTTATAAATTTTATATTTGATATTGACGATTATTATTGAATTTATTGATATATTGATATATACTGATATCGATTCTCATCAACTCAGCTAACAAAAAAAGATTACGTCTCATTGTAGGAATCAAGAAAATAAAAGAGATGAAGTTACAGCAAGCACAAGCAAATGAACTTGTTGATCTAGTTTGTAGGAA